TTTTTATTTTATTTATAAAATATATAAAAACTAGAAAGAACTATCGCAAATAATCGTCCTCATTTACACAAAGTTTGACACGCGTCGGCGTCAAGTCACGAACCGCCAGGGGCGTAACAGACATTTTTTACAACCCTTTTAGTTACCCCTGGAGTTCCTGTGCCGTTCATGCAAGTGTCTGTGCAGACGTGCAGACGGACTTATGAAGTGCTGATTGCTTTCACAAAAAAAGCACACTCTGGTTACACCATTTCCACTTCTAACAAAAGAAAAGGATTCTTTTTGAATTAGGTAAGTGTTTTATTATAGGATATTATGATTGTGCTATTTATAGTTGGAATAAATATTCAAGTTTAAGCTTAAATCTAATCTTAATTTCAGTTCTAGCAAAATAATTTGGATAAGCTTCATCAAAAATTAATAAGCTTAGTTATTAAAGTTATTATAATTTTAAGTCTTGAATATGATCGTATTGTTAATCTCTGACACGTGTAAAGATACTTAAAAACAAAGAAAGTGTTTTCTCGATTTTCTCTTGCCGACATTTCAATTCCATCTTACATGTAAGCATCAACTTCAAGCCAATTGATGACCCATTTTGAAATCACAAGTAAATCCTCCAATCTGATTTGTTCTTAGCAGGTCGATTTCAGCCTAAATTACACCATATTGAACTCTTAATCACACTCCTTTGAGAAGCAAATATATTATATTTGTACGAATTGATAAAATTTTATGCTTTAAAATGTCTTAGATTTCAAAATGGATGGAAATGATTGATAATGGCAATTTTGGTACGTTCGAAAACTTGTGATTAAAACTTATATTACAAATCGCGGCGTGCGATTTCAAATTGCACTCCACTCAGTTCAATTACCATTATCAATCATTACATAGTGGTGGCAGGCTGTAAGTTATAACTTATAATTCATTGGTGTCGAACCAAATACATTTCTATGATTTTCTCTTATGATTTTGTCTTGCAGTAAGAGCTTAGCAGGAAGATGTTACTACATGCTAGAAGACTGCGTCATGCAAAGCCCGTTTGTGTCCTTGGAACCATGTCTATCATTCTCGCAATATGGTTCTTGGCTTCATCGCATGTTCAGCCTGCTGCAAAAAACAGGTACGTGTACTGCTTTACTGAATAATTTTAGGTAATGATTCATCATTCATATTAGGATAAAGATTAACTGATCCAATTCTTTGTTCATTTCAGAAAATATTGTGATCAAATCAACACTGAATATGAGAAGGAAGGCCATGTTTACTTGCCAGGACAACGACGCAGCCGAGTCATGTTTCTGAAGACACATAAAACTGGAAGTAGCACTGTTACTAACATTCTTAATCGATATGGGATAAACAACAACCTAACATTTGCATTACCAAAGTATGATTTAAAATTCAACTGGCCTGAACGTTTGAAAAGTGATTATGTGGTCACTACATGGGCAAATCCACACATTTTATGTAATCATGCAAGATACAATAAAAGGTTTTTACATCATCTCTTTCCTAAACACAAAAGCACTTACATAACTATCCTCCGTGAGCCACTGGCAAATTATGAGTCTGTTTTTAACTATATGGAACTATGGAAATATCTGGATATAAAAGGGAATGACAGCATGGAGATACTTCAGAAATATCTCCTGAATGTGACAACTTTTAAATCAGCAAAACTAGACCATAGAAATTCTTCGCGATTACTAAGAAATCCTATGATATACGACTTGGGACTGGACTTTCGCTATTACCAGGATGAAAAGGCTATCAAAAAATACATCAAATTCTTGGAAAAAGAGTTTGACCTTGTCATGATTTTGGAGTATTTTGATGAGTCAGTTGTTTTGTTGAAAAGGTTGATGTCCTGGGATTTGGATGATGTAGTTTTTGTCAAACACAATCAGAGGCAAAAGGAGGAAAAGAAGAAGCTCTCACCCTTGCTTGAAGCAAATATCAAAAGGTGGAACAAGGCTGATTTTCTACTTTATGACCATTTTAATGACACTTTGTGGAGTAAAATTGCAGCAGAAGGACCAGACTTCTATGAGGATCTAGCCAATTTCCGTAAGCGCAAACAAGAAGTGTTTGAAATGTGTATAAGTTCAACACCAACCATTACTGAGATATACAGAAACAAGTTTGTGCAAGGACATAGTCTGAAGAATGAGAYACCAAATGACAAGAAAGTGTTTTGCACTWATTTGGTTAAGAGTGAATTGGTGTTTTACAAAGAAAACCTTGAAGCTCATAGAAAACAACAAGCAAAGATAGATGATCAAGGGAAATTCAAAAATGAGTTTGATGCAGAAAATGATTGGAATAAAGCCAAGGATTTTCCATATCTACCTATCACCACACTGGTATAGTCTATGTTATAGGGCTGTCATATGACAATTTTTCAAGAAACTAGAACAACCAAACTCTGACAAATTCCCTTTTGGGGATCAAAGTTTGACTATTAACAGAATTTTTGAATAATTGTGGAATTCAGATTAAACTGCACCGCTTGATTTTTTGGGGAATATAGATTTTTATYAAATCTGTAGCATATATTTTATTTTTCATGGGTTTAATATACATTATTTCAATGGAGGTTAAAAGGTTTTACCCTCAAAAGAACTTTAAAGAACTTAAAAGAACTTTTTAAACTCTTAAAAGAACTTTTTTCTGTCATATATGTTACAGTTTTCTCAATACTTATAATAATCTATAAAACTGTTCATTAAACAAAGGTGATGAATTTTATTTATTTATTGTTTGTAATTTAGAATAGAAGAGGCAATCCATTGAATAGGATAAACTTAAATTACTTCTGCACTGGACAGCATCATGTTTGCCTGCCTATTTCCAGTTTCTGTATATTACGTGGATAAAAGTTTGTCTACACTATGTGTGCGTGTCCACGAAAGTAGTTATGAAATGTAATTTAATGTAATTTAGAAATTGATTCAAAGTTACATTGTAGCTACAAAGTTACATTGTAGCTGTAGCTTGAAAGTTAGTACTTACATGGGTTACAGAGAAGACCAAATTATTGGATTGGGTTGCCTGTGTTAGTATTTGGGGTGCCTGTGTATTGTCTAGGAGGATAAAATGGCGGAAGATGGGAAGGCAAAACTGGGTTCGTCTGATAGATTTGTCCAAGCTCAGGTATTCTAGACACCAAGAACCCTTTTAGCCTTTTCTGTCATCGTTTTGTCAAGGTTTATGTAAAGATAATATTGAAGTTGTGAACACTGTTACGGACTGAGTATCTAATCGTCTGTCAGATCAAATGTTTGCGCATTGAATTCTTTAAGCTTTATAGCGATTTAAACCTCGTGTTTCAGGGTGCTCATGGCTTGCATTGCAAAGTGATTGATAAGCTAGGGAAAGGAAATAGGTTAACAGAGAAAACTACAGAGGTATTTCTTCAATTTATAAAATGATTACGATGATGAATTGAGAGTCGGGAATATTTGAGCTTCCAGTGACATTGTGTATGTATGCATGTGTCCATTCAGTTTCCAGAGTTGACAGTTCTCTTGGAAAACTGCACTGCCGCATCACTTAACGTAGGTCTTGAGTGCTGTATGTCTTTGGTGCTCCTTGCAAGAGATGGAAAAGCAGATTTGGAGTACATCTTAACAAAATTTCTCAACATTTTACCAACTKCCAGGTAAGATTCATTAACACACTGAAGCTATTTTTTTAATCACTTTGCAGCTTTTGAGCCTTAAATATTTTTTTTGTTTTTAATTAATTCCTACCTTCCACTTCTCATCCATTCAGTCATCACATTTTTACTTCATTCATTTTCCCATCCATTCATCCAATTTCTCATTCATTCATTCTTTTACACTTTCAATCAAGTGATGATTAGTTATTCATGTGTTCATTCATCTATTTATTTAATTGAAATTGTTTGGGTTTGTAGGCAATATGTTCTCAGTATTATGACAGTTCTTGTTCTGTATCCTAGCAACAAGACTGGTATAATTCAAAGCATTAGCCATCTGCTAGTTTATCAAGTTGCCATAGTTGAAAGTGAAAATGGTGTCTACCACTGCCCATACGGTATCAGGTACAAAGTACTGCATTCTAATGATTTAAAGCTTTACAGTGCTTCTTTCATGAGGTAATTTTGATTTATTTCATYAGGACRCATCCACATCCATTTGTAACAATCCTTACAAATGATCCATCGTATGGATTTGTAYTACTGGMTCAAGCAGAACTCCTCCTTAATGGTGCCTATGTTGGTTCACAATGTGGCTCAAGAAGTGTTTTTCAAATGCTAAAGCCATTCTTTACCTTTATATTGGGAGATACTAGAGGTACTGTTGATTATTCTCTAAGGTATAAGCTGCAGTCTATATTACTGGATTCTGCTATCATGGAGACCAATCAAGAAGGTATGTATGGAAATATAATATAAATATAGATTTGATGTTCTATAACCTTGCTGTAGGATAGTTACTTTTGTAATGCATTTTAATAGGAAAACTAGAAAAAAAAAAAAACAATACTAGCGAAAAGAAAATRTAACAATTTCATGATGAAACAGATTTCTTTTCATCAGGTTTCCTATTAGATTTGAYGTTTTCCTATAATAAACACTAGTTAACTTTGCTTGTTTCAGAAAAKGTGGACCTCTTGACAATGATTTTGGAATTTCTTGTTAGTATCATGGCCTTTTATAAGGTAGAGGATTGAAATCATTCCTTCCTTTTATTTGTAATCCATCCAGTCCTATTTGTTTCTAATTTGTTTGATCTCTTTTTTTCACTTAGTGTGATGTCAAGAATATTGGGTACTGCTCTGCTCTCATTCATCAATTAGCGCAATGGATTWTGGGACACATRGATACCTTCCCATCATCACCTGCAAACCAGTGTATGCAATGACAATAAATCTCCAGTTTACCAGACATTAAATTTTCTTTACTGTCATTATTTGAGTGCTTGTTTGCTAATTTTATTCCTTTTTTTTTTCTCAATGATACATTCTAGTTATAGTTGACGTGCTGATAAAAATTGTGGATCAGCTTCTATGCCTGACTTTTGAAAAGATACAAAATGGCCATGATGTTTCCTCAACATTGTTACTTCTTCACAAGGTTCAAAATTGTTTTCCAAAGGTATATAGCGACAACAGATGAACAGCGAATTAGTTTATAATTGATGTTTCATAAATTGTTTGTTTTAATTTGTTTTGTTCAAGGTGTTTGCCAAGCCAAGAATTATTTGGGCATTAAATGCTCTACTGCTTGAGTCTCCTGTTTTCTACATAAACCTGATTTTATCACTGTGTAAGAATTTCAAATGGTGTAGAATATTACATTCTACTCTCAATATCACTAACTGTTTATTTAACTTACTGGGCATTTAAGGGAAAAAGATAATTGACAAATTGAACTCACACTGGAATATCCGAGCTGCAAGCCTTGGAGCATTGRTTCCATTACTTCAAATAATGTCATCCCAAACTGTTTCATCTTTACTTGGTAGTCACAAGAGTGTAAAACGGCTGGCTTCACAATGCTTTGTGGAGTTAGACCCTTTTAATTCATCTAAAAATACACCAGACAGCTTGCATTGTCAGGTAGGTGAAGAAGTTTATTGAAACATGAACAATATCAGAACATTTGAGGAAATGTTTTATTTTTTAGTTTAAAACTAATTTTTAAGAATGATAGTAATTATATTGACTATATGATATATTATTGACAATGGCTGAAAGAAAGAGTTTTAGGGTGTAATTAACTGAAACAACAAGGAAAATCATGTACAATAAAAGTAACTGGTTTATGAAATCAGATAATAGTCACCCATGTATTGCTTTCTAGGAAATTACAACAGCAGTAGAAAATACAATACTACCTGGAAAACAGTTGATAGAAATGGAATYATGTGCAGTTCTTGCTGATAGAATTTTCAGGTGAAATTTGCTCAGCATTTTGACATATTTTAAACTCAAAATACATGTCTTGTAAGGGTAAACATATTCTAGAGACTCTGCTGTAAGGAGAATTGTAAGAAGGAATACAAATTAAAATAGATTTTCAAATGGTTAAAAATTAATGATTGTAACCACAAACTTTTTTAAAAATAAAATTTATACTCCCTATGATTTACAAAAACGTTCTACTCTAAAAAAGTTCTCTAGTTTTATTATGTAACCACAAACTGACTGTATCATCTTGCTGTATGGTACTTCCAGGGACAACAAGTCTGCTCTCATGTGGCTGAAATCATTGAACTCATCACTCTCCTATGGTAGCAGACCTCACAGTTACATTCCTTTGTTGATTGGATCTCTTCTTGTCACCACTGATGATTATCTTTGTAGCGAGGTCCTAAATGTTGTTAAAATTATTGTGAAATTAGCACCTCCACAGGTATA